ACAAAAGTAGTCCATACAAATTTTAAGGGACTCAAATACGGGTCTTCACTGGGCCTTGAAGACAGACTCACAACTCAACTCACCAGCGGTACCCGCAGCCTTCCTGACCCAGCACCAGACCCTCCAAAGTGCCCATGTCTTTGGCCTTGGTATTCACAAGCAGATCAGTTGCCCACTCCTCCATCACGACACGCCATCAGCATGAGCTGCACATTGTGTCCTTGAATTTCTCCCTTAGCCACAATATTAGTTGTACTGCTAGGAGTAACGTTATTATTTCTACCAATAAAAGAAATAGTCACAGCTAATTGAAAATTCACCAAATACTTTGCATACTCCAAGGACTTGGATGCCTCTATCAACGTTCATGACAATCACAGTTACTATGTGGAATATTTTGTGTGTGTGTGTGTGGGAAATATTTTAACTTGTGCTGTTCTGTTTAATCTTCAAGGCAATTTTATAAGGTAAATATTGTTCTCTCTGCCTTACAGACTAAAAAACAGCACTAATGCCCCCCACAGAAAACCTCTTAAGCAGCTTCCAGTGTCAGTAGCAGAGCTGAGATTCAGGACCCAGGTCTGCCTGAGCTACATAGCTAGTTTAAGGGTAGCCTGGACTACATAGCAAGACCCTGTCAATCTATCAATGGCTGAAGCCAGGCGTTGTAATCAAGAGTTCCAGGCCAGGTTGCAGCCTGAGCTACATAGTAAGACCCTGTCAAGAAAAAAAAGCACTGAGTACCTTTATCCTAGTATGAGCTGTCTTGCTGTGATGGCCCCATTTCTCAAGAGAAATTCAACTTCAAACAAGGCCTGCCTTTTAGTCCCGGTACACAGCTAGGGTAGAGATTGAGTGACCCTCCCAGGCAGGTCATTTAGGCTAAGAGTTTTATTTTTCACCCAAAACACTAAAATATCCAAGGACCAGGAAGGGCGCAGAGCAGGAAGGAAATCGGAGAGTTGAGCTGGGGAATAGGAAGAGGAAGGTGAGGGACCCAGAAAAGAGGGCTCCAGAGTTCCAGAATGTGGGGTGCACTGGGGACGTCGGGGTGGGGGGGGACGCGGGACTAGAACGGGAAGTCTCAGGAATCTCAACAGCAAACCCCGGGGCCTGTTCCCCGCATGCAAGCCGAGCAGGGTGCAAGCTCGTCGCTGTGGTCTGGCCCCTAGTGGCGATGCCCGACATGGATCCATGGTACCCTGAAAACGGAATCCGATTCACCGGGTAGCTTCAATGTTGACCTTCTGGGGAAACTTGACCAGGTCCTTGTCCGATTTGGTATGCGGCCAGAATCGTGGAAAGAATTAAGTTAATGAACCGAGGTGCCAGTAGCACCAACGTGGGCAGAAAGATGAAAAGGAGCGATAGAGGGTCACTTGTAACACGTTTTAAAGTTTGGGCTGGGCCGGTCTGACATAGGGAGCAGGACCGCTGTCACCTTCATCCTTCCGGTTTCATTGTTCCCTGGCCCGCGAAGAGGTTCGGCTCTCTGACCTATCAATGGATTTTGATAGTAGCCCTTTCTCTCTTATATTTTTGTTTTTCTGTGTGAAAAATATGTTCTAAATTTCAAGAAACTAAGTTAGTGTCAGGACATACTAGTGTTACACCTTGCACTGTTACGAAAACAAACAGTACATGTAAGGCTCTTCAGTGGGACGTAAAGCATGTCCCAGTAGAATCATGGACGAGAATAAGTACTTTTTGGTCTTTCTTCTTTTCTTTTCTTCTTTTTTCTTTTCTTTTCTCTTTTTTCTTTCTTTTCTTTTCTTTTTTTTTTAGCGGTAATGAGAGTTGAACCCAGGCCCGTAGCATACCGAGCTACCTCCTGAGCCCTTTTTCTTTTTCTTTCTTTTTTTTTTTTTTTTTGCCTTCCTGGGGATCAAACTCGGGACCTTGCCCTTGTAAGGCAGGCACGGTGCCACTGACCTAAATCCCGGCACCACTTTTGTCTTTTATTTTGAGACAGTGTTAGGGTTAGGGTTTCACTAAGTTGAGAACTTTCAATGCTCCTATTTCAACCTCCCAGAGGGCTGGGGTCACAGGCATTCACAGACGTGTGCCACCATGCCCAGCATCTTTTAGTAATTTATATTGATTTCTGAGTGATTGCTCTGTGTGAGGAACCTCACACAAGGTCCAGCCTAACCAGAAATCAATGAGGACAAATACAGGCAGCTTTATATGTCAACCCTGCTAAGCTATAGCTCTCAGCAGTCTAAGACCATAAACTGTTGGCTGTAAGTAAGGGAGATTAACCTAAATCATGAGTGTGCCTGATGAAACCTCTAAAAGGGCAAAGCTGAAGCTTCTCTAAGGAAGAGGAATTCTGTCTATGAACAGCAGTTTCACACCATGCCTGAAGATCCCACTGTCCTTCCTGACAGCCTGCTGTATGGATTTGAACTTGCCTAGTCAGCTCCATAACTGTATAAGCCATATCCTCACAAGAACTCTGTTTTTCTGTTCGTTTGTTTGTTTTTTGTTTTTCTGGTACCAGGGATCAAACTCAGGACCTTGCACTTGCCAGGCAGGAGCGGTGCCACTGAGCTACATCCCTGGCTCAGAAGTCTTTTAAATATATCTACCTCCTACTGTTTTGTTTTTCTGGCTGATACCTAACTAGTACTGCTGAGAGAGGAGGCCACCCCTCCGAAAGAAACTGGGCAACTATGAGTTAATTATGTTATTAAGCAACTATAGGTTAACCAGGTAACTATGTTCTTTGTAGAATGTACCTGAGTAGCCATGACAATTTCTGTAATCTGTCACCAAACCAGCATAAAGGACTCAGAAAGCCCTGCCAGAAATCTTTGCCCCACCCACCCACCCTCTGCTTGGTATAAATCTTCTTGCTATATTCCCAGGGAAACTCCAATGGAATTAACCTTCATAAATGTAAAAAGAGATATATAAAGCAGCAGAAAGTTCTGTTCGGGGCTCTCAAGAGTGACAGGAGTCACTCACTGAGCCACCGGCATCCTTGAAAGCCACTTTTTGCTCCTATCTTCATGTTTAGAGTGATCTGTCTGGGGTCCTCACAGTTTCATTCTTTGCTGCAGGTACCAACATGGCAAAAGGAGGTCAAGGAGATCTTTCCTGTAGCCACAAAGAGAGAGCCAGGCGCCACCTGTAGATCTGCCAGGGTAAAATGCTGGGCAACAAAAGCAGAAAGACCAAACCAAATCAAAGCCACCATGGCCTAGGCAGGGGTTGAGAGCTTCCATTCATTATAAGAGGGGCTCGTGGACCCAGAAAGGCTGGAATCAGTAGGAGGACCACGGCTTAGATCCAGAATAATTCCAGACAGAGCTGGGACCAGCCTGGGGTGGCGAGGTGCTGACCTCAGCCTCAAAAGTTAGGAGAGGGAGGGTGTCAAACAAATTGAGTCATCAAAGTAAATAGTGTTTCAATACAAAATTTTAAAAATCAAAATGAATGTAAAATTTCACGATGAATAAAACCCAGAAGATTAAATAAATACAAAATCAGAAAATTCTAAATCCCTTTGGCTATACCAGCCCGATGGACTCTGAAATTTCATCTCTCTCCTTTGATGAGTGTGGCTGCCAGTCCCATAGGATTTGGAGGATGGTGCAGGCAGTTCTACTCAAACTGGTGGTTTAAAGACTGGGGAGCACAGAGCAGAAGCAAGAAGTCACCTGAAAAACCTGCCAAAGTTACAGTCAAAGAGCATTTTCCAACTAAGATAATAATCAACCAGCTGGATGAGCACTAGGCCAAGATACAGAGCTACAGGTAGAAGTGGAAATAGAGAATAGAGAGCAACAGCAGAGTAACTGAGAGTTGGAGCACCATGACACTGAAACACAGCGCATAAAGAAGGACCTCCACTAGGCATGGAGGCACACACCTGTAATCCCAGCCTTTGGGAAGCTGAGGCAGGAGGATTAAAAGTTCACCTCTGGCCTAGGCTACATACCCAGTTCAAGACCAGCCTGGAGTACATAGAAAGACCATGTCTCAGAAAAAAAAAAACCTAAAAGAAAAAGACCTCTATTGGTAACACAGTGTGGGAAATCATTTCAGTAAGTAGTTAGAAACAACATGCTACTATTTGAGTGATTGATTTGAAAACTGAGCCAAAGCCAAGTTAAGAATAGTTATTAGCATTTTTTTACCCTTCTTTATGTTTTCATTTCATAAGGATGAAAAGTTTAATATTTAATATCTATATAATACGATTGCATGATTATGATATATTAAGAATCACCCAGGGCTAGGGATTTAGCTCAGTGAATCCAGCGCCTGCCTCACAAGAGCAAGGTCTCAGGTTTGATCCCTGGTACCAAAAAAAAGAATGTCCCAAATACAAACTGTGATAAGAGGAGCCAATGAGGAGAGACACTGAGCACATACACCTGTGTGCACACACATGCACACATAGTTGCACCCACATGCACATATGTATAACCACATATACCCACAGACATGCACCCCTCATCACCTACCCTGAGAAAGATCTGTTACTCTGCTTATGCAAAATTATTTGTTGTTGTTCCATCAGTGCCTTTTATTATGCTCAGTCCTTGCAAGATTCCTAGAATCTCCAGAACTCAAAGAGCAGCCCCTCTCCATGGCCCCTTCCTACCTCTCTGTACCCATCTCTGTGCTGCAGCTGCGCCTCTTTTCTGTGCTCTTGGGAAGCCCAGCCCGTCAGCCCCAGAATGTCCTCCACCAAATCCCTCAGGTCACAGCCAGGCTAGGGCCCCGCAGATCTTAGTCAGAAGCCGTAAAGTCATCCGTCCAGTGTGCTGTTCCTCACCTCAGCCGGGCAGACCCAACCGCCCTCACCCCACCCCCGTCATAGGCAGCAGGCTGTGGCTCCAAGGCTGCGGGAGTGTGTGGGGCCCGGCACCACCCACACCTAGCCTGACACAAAGGACTGTCTGAGCTGCTTGAAATCCTCACCGCAAAGTTCTCCTTAGTGTGGGTCAACCCCACTCCCCAAACTGCTCTGCCCTCTTCCTAAGCAGGAGCACCTGTGGCGAGCACTTCCCAGATGAGAACTTCAAGCTGAAACACTATGGCCCCAGCTGGGTGAACATAGCCAGTGCTGGCGAAGACACCAGCAGTACCCACTTCTTCATCACTACAGTCAAGACAGCCTGGCTGGACACCAAGCACATGGTGTTTGGCAAAGTTCTAGAGGGCGTGGTGAGTCCTGGAGGCTGACCCAGGACAGTTCCCGCTGGTGATGCGGCACAGACCCTGGGGCAGGGGCTCCCTGGGTTTTATCCCTTCTCAGAAGAACCTGATCCACAGATTCAGGGCAGTGTTTATGTCTCCTAACCTGAGGGAAATCAAGCATAAACAGCCCACACCCAGCTACTCGGGAGGCTGAGATAGGAGGACCATGTGAGCCTAGGAGGCCAGCCTGGGCTACATAGCAAGAACTCACAAAACAAAAACCCAGCCTGCATCTCCAGGCCTCGGCAGAGCCCAGCCAAGCTTGTTGAGACCACCCAGTTGCAGGATCCTACTCCTTGGTGTAGGGCTCTAAGGACCTCTGCCCTCGGCATGACCACCTGTGCCAGCCCCCTGCCCTAGTTGTGAGACCGGGATAAACCCAGAAACGCCATCTTGGCCTGTAGATGAACTCCCCTCAGGCCCCTCCCCTTATAAAATAGATGTTTTTGTCACTGCTTGTTCTGCCTCTGTAAACTTGCTTCATCGCTTCTCGGAAAGAGATAGTGCCTGGTGCCTCCCTTTACTATAAATTGCCCTAATCTGACAAGACAGCGAGATAGCTGAGTTGTGAAAAATACTTTTGCAACTAGTCAAAAACATGTTAACCTCCCCTTGAACTTCTCTCCTTAAAATAACACCTATAAAAGCTATGCTGCTGTAACACCCTATATAAACTGTGCTGTTCCTGGACTCAGGGCTTCACTTCGCTTAGGGAGTGGAGTCCACGCGCGTGAATAAACTCCTTTCAGTTTAACTTTGTCGTTGGTCCCAGGGTTTGGTGATTTATCGACTTGCTTGGCACAACACTAATGAGGGTGAAGGTGGCCCAGGCTCTGTGCTGCGCTGGTCCAGTGCCCGCACCTGACAAAGTGGTCCACTTGCCTCACATTCCACAGGCCCGATCTTGTAACAATCTACTGGTATCTTTGCTGACCAATAAAAAAAGTGGGTTGTTTTTATATATATATAACCTGTGTATGGGCTGGCTTAGGTCGGTAGCCCCCACTCCAAATCATCATCCCACCATATCAGGATTCTGCTTGGCCAGTGGGTGCTTGCCCTATCCCCAGGCTCCCAAACTGCACGAGCTACTTCGCCTCAACCTTACTGCCCCTGCCCCCTTCTGGTCTAGGTTAAGAACTATACCTATGTCTCCCATCTTCCTCTTAATTGTCTTTCCCTTTATTCCTCATCTCCTTGCCCTGCCTTGGCCCCTGGGTGCTAAGACCACCTAACTGCCAGCGAATCCCCAGCTCAGAGCCTTGACAAAATAAGGCACAGTAGAGTCCTGTGTCCGGGCCAAAGGATGACCCAGCCTTTGCTCCTTGAGTGGTACTCATAGGACTGAGGCACATGGCCTTACTCACAGGTGGCCCTGAGGCTCCTGGACTCATCAGGGCGTGGGTGACAGAGGAACAGGGTTAGAGTCAGCCTTTGACTGGGCTGGTGCTGGGCTGGTGCTGAATCCATAGAGGCCCTGGAGCACATGGTTCACCACCACATCGGGCAGAGGCTCTGGAGAAGGCACACTAATGTAGGGGTCCCTGCAGAAGCTGATGACAGACCAGTGGTGCAGCTGTGATCTGCTGCTGTCGCTAGGCAGGAATTCCCTGGGGTGCTGAAAAGAAGAGAGACTCCGTAAGCTACCTGGGGATGCTCGGGGGAGGTGAGGAAGGGGTGGAGACACGAGCCCAGAACTTCATGTCCCACGGGGGCATGCTTCTATTTGTAAGGAGCCCAGTTCCGGAGGTGGAGGCAGCTAGGGTAACCAAGGTTGTCCAACTTCAGCCTCTCTTCAGTCTCTCTCAGGGTTGAGAAAGCCGATGGGAGAGGTCAGGTCTCAGCAGGGAGGACCAGGCTAGGGCTTGGCCAATGGGAGGAGGAAAGGGGCTCGTTCTTCAAAACCTTTCCTTGCTCACATGCTACTGAGACCCCCTGGCCCTCCTCATCCCCAGCTGCTGGCCTTGAGGTCCCCTGGAAAGTGTCAGAATCTCAGGAATTCCAGTAACTCCTCGGGCACATCTTGGTTCAGGTACAGGATGCCCTGGATGCAGGCCTCCAACCCTGCTGCCACTGTTCTAGGCTCCTGGTCCTCCAGTCGGATAGGTACTTCCACAGGAAGTCAGGCACTTTGTACAGTTTCTGGATCATGTAGGCTTTCTCCAGGCTCTGGCCCCAACTTCGGGATGTGAACTTCCAGCATCGGCGCTCGGCTACCACCCCTCCAGGCCTGCACTCAGAGGGCGACTCCGCCTGAAAAATTATTCAGTACAGATATTCCGTACCTTTCTTGCGTTTTGTTTTGTTTTGATTTGTTTTTTTGTTTTGTTTTTTGCTTGCTGTACTGGGGATTGAACCAAAGCCTTTACACTGAACTACATACCCAGCCTTTGTTGAGACAGAGTCTCTCTAAGTCACTCAATTGCCCAAGTGCACGCCCTTAAATTTACAATTCTCAGCCTCCCACAGTGCTTGGATTACAGACATGCAGCCCATATTAGGCTGAATAATGCCCTTTTGAATACACACAACTTTGTTCAATGAAATAAAAATATTTTATACATTTTTTAACCAAAAGTGGAATAAATGTAGTACATAATCACATAAGAGTGTTTTATGTTAACTATATTTTTATTGAATATTACAATCCTAGCAATAAAATGTCTATGCATATGGGTGTGACAAGTTTTGTCCTAAAGTTATTTCCTTCAAAAAATGCTTCGCATACCCAAAATACATGACCCTAATAGTAATTTGTACCCACACAATGTTTATTATTTAATATCAAATTCAGTAAGATTTCTAAGCGATTACTATATGTATTTGATCTCAAATAATAAATTCTATACAATTCCAAATAATGGACCAAATAATTACCCTGGTTAATTCAAAAGCAGCATCTCCAAGTAGAGGGTAGGTGGGAGCTGACTGGCAGGCCATGCAGTAGACTTCAAAGGACGAAGCTGAGCCGAAGACATCGGCAGTAGACACTGCCTGACTCCGCTGTGAGCTCGCTTCTGAGCTCATTTCTCACATATACAGTGTAGACCATTAAAATAATTTCCCTGGGTTATTACAAAGATGATAGCATGAAATGTGACAAAGTGCCACTGGTGTGAGATCCATCACTTTGAATAAATCTTCGCTCCTTTGCTCTGCTGGTTGAAGAAAAAGATGGGGGAAAGAACTTTCATTTCTGGTGAGTATTTAACAAGGACTGAAATATGCAGTCCCTGTATTTCTAAACTTGAAACTATGTATTTCTGAGAATTTAGTCATAGGTGCTCAGGGTAGCAGCTGTTTGATCTTATTTGTGAGGTCCTCTGCCTGAAGGCTCACCCACAGGGCACCCAAAAGCCTCTGAAGCGGGTGGTCCATCGTGTGCTGGCTTATCCATAGGTAAGCTCAGAATGACACTGAATATCGCCATCAGCTTTGGCCAACAATGAGAAACCAACAGTGTGACAAAGTTTTATAGAATGAATACAGCAAGCAGGAAAAGCAGTTAAGCCAAAGGGAAAAAAAGAGAATCAACAGTAAGAAAATAACGCAGTGACAATGAGGCATGAGGATGCATGCCTGTCATCCCAGCATTTCAGGAGGCTGAAGCAGGAGTATCTCTGTGAGCTTGAGGCCAGCCTGAACTACATAATGAGACCCTGTCTAAAAAAAGAAAAAAGAAAGTAATGCAATGATGAGAATAAGTCAATACCTTTCAATAATAAATCTCAGTGTGAATAGTCTCAATTCCCCAATCAAAAGGCACAGGTTAGAAGAATAGGTCAAGAAACAAAACGCAGTGGTATGCTATATACATGAAATATATTTAATCCAAAAAGAAATTCATTGATTAAAAAGAAAAGAATGGATGCTGGACATGGTGGCACATGCCTGTAATCCCAGTACTTGAGAGGCTGACAGGAGGATCCCCATGAGTTCAAGGCCACCCTGAACTAAATAGTGAGTTCAAGACCACTCTGAACTACATAATGAGACCCTGTCTCAAAAAGCCAAAAAATTAAATTAAATTAAAAATAAAAGGATGGGAAACAATATTCCATGCTCTAGGACCCTGTAAACAGCAAGGAAAGCTATCAGATAAAGTGGACTTCAAACCAAAAATGATCAGAAAAGTTAAAGAACTTCACTAGATATGTCTCCAGGACATAATGCCAAATTTTGTTTAAAGGAGCATTATGGGGGTTAGATAATGTCCACATTTATTTTTTAGAAGTATTTCTATCAATGAATTTTTAATTTTATGAGTTTTATTATATTAAACAAAGTGTGCTTATCAGGGAAATAAAATATCAATAAAATAAAATAGTAAGTTTTAATATGTAATGAGTGTGTAGAATAAATATAACCAAATGTCTACTTGCTTACAAATCTAAAGCAACAGCAGAAATAAATTCCTATGTGAAGGACAATGAAAATACAAACAAAACCCTACCACAGATACCATCTTTGCTTCAATTATGACACCTGAGGCAGTGTTCACACATGACCACAGCATGTTCCATACGCAAGTCACGCTCACACTGACAGCATGTGTGCTTAGCTTTCTTTTCCTGTTTGGCAGGTCACATACTTATCACCTCTGTTGTCTTCTTCTTTTATCAGGAGCTTCCTATTATATTATACAATGTGTACTTAGCAGGAAAATGAAATACCAATAAAATAAAATATCAAATACATCCTGAGTGTTTAGAATAAACACAACAATTTCTACATCAACTGTTTTTTGCTTACTAAATCTAAAAAGTAACAACAGAAATAAATTCCTGTGTGAACTACAATGAGAATGCAAATAAAACTACCACAAAAATAATCTTTACTTCAATTATCACACCTAAGGAAGTTTTCACACATGAGAACAGCATGTTCCATACATAAGTATCACTTACACTGACAGCACGGGTGTTTTGCTGCCCATCTTCTTTGGTAGGACACACTTGACATCTTGCTCATCTTCCTGTTTCCTTAGGAGGTTCTTATGATGTTTCACCTGCCTGTTCACCGGTCTGCTCCAGAATTCTTTTGTGGAGTGCTTTGGGCAGATACATATTGTTCTTCCTCTGTTGTAACTGATCATTTATCAGTTCCAGGCCCAATCCGCTAAGAAAATTTCTCTATGATATTTTGTGCTTGTTATTTTCTTTGTCAGCTATGAAACTATTTATGCCTCACGTGTTTAGGATCCAGTAAAACACAACCGTTGGTCAACGCTTCATGTTTTGAGTGACATCATAGTTGCTGCAAAATTGTCAACAATATCTACTCTGCCTGTCAATTTGTTGTGAAATGTGATCATTTCTGCCTTTATTTGTGTGGAGGATTCACTATCAATCTTTTGTTTGTTTGTTTGTCGTTTGTATTTTTGAGACAAGTTCTCCTTACATAGTCCAGGCCAGCCTTGAACTCACTATGTAGCACCAGCTGACCTTGAACTCACAGGATCCTCCTACCTCAGCCCAAAGAGTGCTGGGAATACAGGTGTGCACCTCCACGCCTGGCTTCACTACCAATCTGATCATCACAGTGTGATGTTGACACTGCCAATGCTACTTTGTTTTTCTTCACCATATAGAAGGCCAATGTTACACTGTTCCAAAATCCAAAGTTTTTACTATGCATTTCTCTACTGTGAACTTGCAACATTTTTTCAGGAATCTCCACTTTGTTCTTGAGAATAGTTCCTGTGCTGGTCAACTGGTGTCTTTATTAGCAAATGTAACACCAATGGGTTACCCACAATCCAATTTTTGAATGCGACATTTGGGTTACTTTTTGGAAGAGGTGCAATAAGTCTGTTCACGATGTCAGATGGTTTATTACTGCACTAATAAAGACCTGGTGGCCAAG